CCACACATTGTATGTTTCGTGCACCTTTGAAGACAGAGGAGCATACTGTACAATCAAACAAATAGTTTTTATTTGGGTTTTTTAACCCCCCAAACTGTTCAAAGACCCCAATCCCACTTCACACATTCACTGTATATTCAAAGCATCACCATATGAATACACAATGCCAAATATAACATGAAGCATCACCTAAACTTATATCAGGTATTTGTTGGGCATGTGATTGTGCAGTGTTTTAAACAAAACAAGTTTTGATTCCATTTGAAATATACAGACATTAACCATGATCCCTTTTTAAGAAATGTAATAAAATTAGATATCAGTTTTAAGCTTGCAGAATTGTAGCTGAGACATGATAGTGAGTACAATATTTATTGTGATATTACCGCCAATGATGGCACCTCCTCTGAGAGTTCTGCAAATTGTTCAGGACAACAGACTCCTGAACATGAAATATCATGATCAGTGTCCATAACCAATATCAAACTTTTAGGCTTAAAGACTACAGCTAAAAATAAAGATCTCTTTAAGTGCCATAACATTTTTTGGGTCATCTACATTGTTGTTGTTTGGAGGCAGTAAATCTGACATGAAAGATACAGTCTGGTGTTACCAGGCAACTATGACATATCGGACAGTCCAGAGATGTTTGTAGATGAGCTGGTGACGGCCATGTTTGTCTTCCCCGATCTGGGCCAGTTTGTGGTCAGTGATAGATAATCTTTGTTTGTCAGGCATGTTGGACGGAAGATGAAGATGATCAAAATGATCGTTCCTTTGTCTGCATCTTGCTTGCACAGCGTTGCTATTGTTTGGAATGTATGGACCTGAGAGTGAGTTAGTTGGGTTTTATGCCATTTTTGCCAATATTCCAGCAGCATTACTGGAAAGGACACCAAAAATAGGTTTCACACATAACCTGTTGGGAATCAAACCCAGGCCATCAGTGTGATAAGCAAACACCTTAACCAGTCACAGTCAACTACATTGTTTCAGAGTGCCCTGGGGGCGTGGGGTAGCCTAGTGGTAAAAGCATTTGCTCGTCACACCGAAGAACCGGGTTCGAGTCCCCACATGGGTACAATGTGTGAAGCCCATTTCTGGTGTCCCCCACGGTGATGTTGCTGAAATATTGCTAAAAGCAGCGTAAAACTATACTCACTCACTCAGATTGCCCCGTAAAAGGACCATAATCTGTATTAACTGCATTAGAACCCAAATGGTGATCTGAGGATTACAACTGTTGCAAGTCTGGGCCGGGAGTTAAGTCATCTTAGCGCCATGATCACTTTGCGGAACAGGACCCTTGGTATTTCTGGAATGATGGTGGAAATTTGGGTAGTTCACTTGTGAAAGCATTTTCTCTTCATCCCTATAATTCACCATGTGAAATCAACACAAAACCATACATCAACTCATATTTTATGTGATCTCAAGACATGGTGAGGTAGCCTTGTGGTCGAGGTTCTTGCTCTTCTTGATAAAGAAATAGGTTTGATTCCCATCATGTGTATAATGTGAATGCAGGTACCCTTTTTACTCCATTTGAGGTAGCAAACCATATATTCTTCTATTCACCACATGTTGATGATCTTCCAAATAATCTAGTTCCATGTGAATCACACAAGTCAGCATTTATGTGTAAGGATCAATTTATTGAAACAGTTGGATAACAAGATCTAAATCCCTTCCTGCTCACATATAAAGACATTTGATTGAAAATGAAAAACTAAATCATTTGACCTTGGACCAGTTTGATGGAAGGTGATAGAACGTCCCTCCCAACAATCCTTGATTGACTTCCAGAGTCAACACTGAAAAAAACCAAACATTCCGTTTCAATTCAAACTTGAATTCAAACAAGTTAATTTGGCAAATGCTGTCATTAAACATTGCCCAACACTGTGGGATGTCTGCAGGCACTGATAGCCAGGGACTGGAGCCTTAGCGATCTACACAGACTCAGTGATGGAGGAATGACCATGTTGATTGTGAGTGGATTCTACCTCCAGAATGAAGAAAGACTTCTCAGATTGGGGTCATGTTATGGCTATGTATAATTTTTCGATATTTTCAAAATGACCTTTTTCAGTTTTATGTGTTTAAATGCATGTTCAAATGGTTAGTGGATTCCCAGCTCTGAATCCACTGAAACCATTGCATGGTGTGATCATGGTGGTTGAACATGAGTTTGCACCCAGTTTCTATATAACGACTTGATCACTTGTTGCAGAATGCATGCCCAAGTTTGGAGACTTTTGAAATAAGGTTATGTTCCACTGTCACTTGGTTAAAGCGTTAGCTCGTCACACCGAAGATCCGGGTTCGATTCCCCACATTTGTACAATGTGTGAAGACCACTTCTGGTGTCCCCCGCCGTGATATAGCTGGAATATTGCTAAAAGCAGCATTAAACTCAACTCACTCACTCACTCACTCCACTGTCACTTGAATTATAAAGAAGCAATAACATGGGGGCTACGGTTTTAAACGTAACCTGAAGGAGAGATATAACACACAAGTTCCAAGTTAACAAAGCTGATATGCAAGGTGTCTGATAAAAGTGTGTGCATGTATGTCTGTGTTTCAGTCTGTCTTTAGATTCGTGGTTGGGGGGGGGGTAGTGAGTGGGGGATTCATCACAGGTAAAGTCAACAGTGTTGGCACTGTTTGCTTAGAAGATGTGACATAGTATCCTTTTGAAAAATAATCTTCTGATCCATAACTGAAGTGTAGAAGTCCATTAAGATAGATTCTTCCTGCCTTGTTTGCCGGTAATTGTGTGCAGAGCATGTGTAATAACCTGGTTCAACCCGATGGAGTGTTTAATGCTGGAGCATCACCAAGGCCAGTGACGGGTCATCAGGAGATCCCATCCAGCGGTGGACATGACAGATGATGATGGCAGCAAACATTTGCCAAGACTTGTTGACACTACCAATAATAACCCAGTGGAACTGACCCATCAATCTGGTCCTAATGGGGCTTCCTTTATGGCCAGCATGTGCTCAAATATTGGATTCTTTCATATGTCAACAAGATCAGCTTGGTATTTAATGTGTACGCTCATACTTTGTGACACACATATTTCATTTTATTGTCAGCGGAATGTCTTACAAGTATTTATCATACTGTTTGGATTTATGTAGGGCAAAGTTGTTCGTGCAGACTGTAAATCTGTGAACAGTTGGTTTTAATGTTGAATACCCATGTTATTTTATGCATTTTAATTGTCCTGAATTTTATTCATATCCCCGGTACTTTAAGAGTTATCACCCTTGTTGAAGTTAAGTGTTAAGATACATTCTAACTCTTTGTTGCCCAAAGTAAGTTGAAATATCATTATAAAACCATACTGAATGTTATTTATATTTCATTATTTTAGTTATTTATAGCTTTGATCTTACTCAAAATAGGCTGTGTTAACAAAAACATTTCACACATATCATCCAAGTGTTGAAATAAATGTGCTATTTTGAATGTTCTAAATCCATCATTGTCTACTATTTGTGGAACTAACAACCTGGATTAAACCTCAAGTGATCTCATATATGTCAAGTTTGTCCATTGTGCAGAGCGTTAGTAAACATTTTGTTTGTTGTGTAATGCCTCAGCAATATTCCAACTATATGAAAGCATCCTGTAAATAATATACCATGCAGGGATGATTCTGTTCACAATGCCTCACAACACTGGGGTACAAGGACATGATATTAACCAAGTTACTGACCCAATCCGACCACCTCTGTGGTGTAGTGGTTAGAGCGTCCGCCCAGGGAGCGGAAGGTCGCGGGTTCGATCCCCGACCATGTCATACCAAAAAACAATTAAAATATGGTACTTGTTGGTCCCTGCCTGGCGCTTGGCATTAATGGGAACAACAAGGACCGGTCGGCTTGGAGTCAGTATAATGTGTCTGAGTGGGGTATTCATGTTTCACTGCGGCATGGTATCTCAGTGGGCTAGCACTATAAAACCAACTTAAGTCTGGGCTGGTACCAGCAGGCGCACATACACATACACACACATGCACGTCGTCATATGAGCGAAATATTCTCAAGCACGACTTTAAACCCAATTTCACCTCACCTCACTGACCCAATCCACCAAGTTACCTTGGGCAACAAGCAAAGTTTGCTGGGGGCCATACCTAACACATGACAGTGAGGCTGAAACTACCCTTGCTCCAAGGCTGTACTGAATGCTAAGCCCATGGATGTACAGTAAATCTATCCTTTACAGAGGCTAGTCTAGCTAAGCGGACAGTACTAGTCTAAGGATGTCAGTCTGTTATTTATATGTTTTTTAGAAATGTTCATTTAAGCTATTAATTATTACATTAGAGACTTGTGCAATTCTAGGCTGAAACTTGTTGAATTCATCATTCTGGTTGGGGTTTAACACTTCATACACACACATTTCATGCTACTGTGGTAACAACCAGTTGTGTATCTAGTTGATAGTTGAGGAGGACTTCTAGTGAAAGTCTGGGAGTCTATTCGTTGAGTGTGATTGCAATGAAGCTATAAGGGACCAGTGAAGATCCGGGTTAGAACTGATCTTCAGTAACCCTTGCTTGTCGTACGAGGCGACTAACGGGATTGGGTGGTCAGACTCGCTGACTTGGTTGACACATGTCATCGGTTCCCAATTGCACAGATCGATGCTCATGCTGTCGACCACTGGATTGTCTGGTCCAGACTGGATTATTTACAGACCGCTGCCATATAGCTGGAAATTTGCTGAGTGAGGCGTAAAACTAAACTGACTCACAAAACTGTAGGGTGTATGGCAATGATAAGTAGAGGTAGTATTCTTGGAATAATAATAAACTATAACTGTAAAACTCATTGGAAAAATCAAAATAGATTTGTGAATACAATGATAACTCTTGTTTGATTTTATATTACAGTGTTTTGCTTGCATATGGCTCTCTATCCAAGAAAAATATGAGCCTATGACAGTTTGATTGTTCTGATAATGTTTATTTTATATTTCAGGGTGTTTTGCTTGCACACGACTCTCTAGCCCAGCGTGAACATGAGCCAGTAACCGTCAACCATGTCCACTCCCACCCGCACACTCTGGCCCTCGACCATGTTGATGTCAATGAACCTCTTGAGTATCCCCTTATGCCTTATGGCGAGGATAGCGTGAAGATCATCCACTTAGAGAAGACCAACGAGCCATTGGTAGGTGTCCTCGCATTGATTTTAGCAACATGCCATCACATGTTCTATGTGGAAAGGAAAAGCTCTTTACTGAAGGTCTATTTTTATAATTGACTTCAAGTTTATTTGCATTGATGGAAGTGCAATACAAAAACATTTTAAGTCATTTCAGTTTGTTCAGTATGTCAACTATGACAACTTCACACACTGCTTGGGGCGTTGGGGTAGCCTAGTGGTTAAGGCGTTCGCTCGCCATGCCATTTCTGGTGTCCTCCGCCCGTGATATTGCTGGAATAAAAACTAAAACCGGGTTCGATTCCTCACATGGGCACAATGTGTTAGGTCCATTTCTGGTGTCCTCCGCCATGATATTGCTGGAATATTGCTAAAAGCGGTGTAAAACTAAACTCACGCAGTCACTCACTCACACACTGCTTGTTTATTCATTACAAACCACAAACGTAGACAACAATATGAAGTCAGTGATATCTTTCACATCAGTAATACAGCACAAGCCCTCCCCTTTTTGTTCACAACTAAACAGAAACACAGTGTCATATAGTGGCCATGGCCTGTATGTTTTCAGTTTATGGAAACATGAGTTATTCTGAAGAAGTATCCATGATATACTGGTACGCACATCAGTATTTAAGTGCATTAAACATGACTTTAACCCCAGTGTCTTCTCCCCAACCTGTAAATGTCAGCCTATGTAAATATTGTATCCTTGCACATATGTAAGTCCCTTATTTGGTATTTATGACTTCTGGTATTTGGTATTATTAGAAATTTACTGTAATAATATTGTCAAAAGATCACACCAAAGTAACCATGAACTGCCACTCAAGACTCCCCTATTTAATTTTTGAAGTTTTGCTCATCTATTTTATTGGTTTGGCCTCCAGAAAAAATAATTCTTCATACCCATGATAAGAGTGAGTGAGTATGGTTTTACGCCGCTTTTAGCAATATTCCAGCAATATCACGGCGGGGGACACCAGAAATGGGCTTCACACATTGTACCCATGTGGGGAATCGAACCCGGGTCTTCGGCGTGATGAGCGAACGCTTTAACCACTAGGCTACTACTTAACCCCTAACCCCACCCCACCCCCCAACCCCCAAATGATAAGAAGCAGAGTCACTTCTCTAATGTGTGTCCAACATCTATGGTGGTGGCAGGCACCTTGTTTCACTGAGGTGGTGAATGTCTGGGGCCCTCATCACCTTAAGCTTTCCTCCAACATTAAGCTGACACGCTGAAATATTATCAGCAGTGACACTATAACCCCGTGAATTAAGCATATATTCTTCCCTCCAGGAAGTTCATGTCCTCTGAGAAGGCATATCAGTATACTTAGAAGTATGTCGATATAGTAACAGTGATGGCTATTTATTTTCACAACACATTTGTTCATCTGACACTATAGGCAGATGAAGCCCAGTCAAGCGTGACGTCATTGTGCGACAACATGTGTATGAAGTCATGTGACATGGGATAGGCCATAGGCTACCTCCGCACTATACATACCTGCCTTTCCCACACATTAATGTGTCTCACAATATATTTAGTGTACTGTGTAGATTCAAGTGTCAGATTTAACTGGGTCTTTCGATTTTCAATTCCGTGCTACTCAGTGGTAGATTTTTTTATTTCAATGCATAAATGTCACATGTTATTTTGGGGATTAAACTTTCTCTGTAAAGTACATATTTTTGTCCCATGTATAATTCGAACCCTCACTCTCAGAGTCAGGCTCTTACCCGCCACCATAATGACAGTCAGAATGTGGGAACATGATGGTAGCTTTGCTGATGCAGATCTGGCGTCAAATTGATCTTCACAAGAAATACTATGTACATCCCAATTCACAAATATGATACACTAGCTTCATTGTATTTCATACGATGCATTTGAGAAACAGTAATGTTAATTCAAAGGTGGTAAAATGGCTGCCTTATAACTGAATCTGTATGAGCCAATGGCCCACATGCATGCTGAATGATGATGATGATGATGATGATGATACAACTTGATTTACAACCCAAAAATTTCAAATGTTAGGTTGCAAAAGCTCCGCAGCCTAAGTTAGATGCAGATTTCAAGAAGAAATCAACATCAACATTGTGTGCAGTCCTCACCACAAGAGAAATATCAGTAACATGTAGTGTGTAATTCTGATGAATATTCCCGTCAAAACATCCATACTTTTTTTGTATCCCTTGACGTCATGTAGTAACACCCTGAGTGTTAGTAATTGATCCTTTGATGTGAGTACAAGTGTTATAACTGATTTATATCATGGTTCAGTGTGGGGACAGTGTGGCAGGGTTGGCTGCAGTGTGATGGCAAGTATTCCCATGGGTAGTGTTCCGTGACCACCACTATCACCCTCTCTCCTTGTCTGATTACAGTGTGGGATGTCATACCATAATTGTGTGAACTGTGTGATCAATACTTTACCTTAGTTCCCAGGACACAATGTAACATGAGAAATGTGGTGACCCTCCTATCTTTGCTTCATGTTGGGCGGTGGGGTAGACTAGTTGTTAAAGAGTTCACTGGTCATGCTGAAGACCCATGTTCGATTCCCCACATGGGTACAATGTGTGAAGCCCATTTCTGGTGTCCCTGCCATGATATTGCTGGAATATTGCTAAAAGCGGCATAAAACTAAACCCACTCACTCACTCATGTACTTGTTGAACGATAGATATGAAGCTCATTCTGTCGTAATGTCTGATAGGGTTTTGTATCTTATGATGCTGTTTGACATTACTTCTGTCAGATCTCAGTGATATGAAGTCATCATAGCAGGATTATTAAATAATTTACTCCCAAACGTACTGACAATATGAACTTACCATGGGTGTAGGTCTAGTATCGCTTCATTGAATGATGCCTTAATTTGGCACTGACAAAGAATTGTAAATCCAACTTTAAAACAGATTCTAATATTTGAATAAACCCAATAAAATTGTTTCCATAATCTTACAAAATATCTGCTAAAACAAGACTTAATGATATGATTCTGACTACATTATAAATACGTGTGTATGAATCACTATCCAGTAGCAACGTGTTCACCCCTTATGGCACCCACCACAAAGACATGCAAGGACAAGCCAAGGGTTCACCTGAACAAACATGGGAATCAGTCAGTTATGCATCAATTGCAAGACCGCCTCCGTGGTGTAGTGGTTAGAGCGTCCGCCCGGAGAGCGGAAGGTCGCGGGTTCGATCCCTGACCGCTTCATACCAAAAGATGTTAAAATATGGTACTTGTTGGTCCCTGCCTAGCGCTCAGCATTAATGGGTACAACAAGGGCTGGTCGGCTCGGAGTCAGTATAATGTGTCTGAGTGGGTTATTCATGCTTCACTGCGACATGGTATCTCAGTGGGCTTGCACTATAAAACCAGCTTAAGTCTGGGCTAGTACAAGCAGCCGCACATACACATACACACACATGCATGTCGTCATATGAGCGAAATATTCTCAAGTACGACGTTAAACCCAATTTCACCTCACCTTATCAATTGCAAGTATCCTGTACATGACTACTGTAAATGTTTTGAAAAGATTTGTCCTTGAATGCTGTCATTCAACAACTTTTGAGGAAGATTTGCATGATGCTCCTTAAAATCTTCACAGAAAAAGGATGCTAGATTGTATATAAACAATTGTGCAATGCTCGACACAGATTTTCATTTGTGTTTTTTGTCCCCTGAATCTGTATGTACGCATAAATCTATATATGAAACAGGTGAGGCAATTTCAAAAGTCTTTTTTTGTATTCAGCTTATATTTATTTTCTAATCAATATAACAGAATTTGCTGTTTGAACAATATCAGATTTTCAATGTACCTGATGCTTAAGGTCAACTTCTTTGGCAAATTCTGGTAGTTTTGATTTGGCCAATCTGAGCAGAAGTTATTTTTCATATGTGTAAAGAAATGTATTAGCAAGGCAGGGAGTGCAATGGGCACCCATGGGAACATCATGCCACTCCTGCCTATCACACACTCAGTTGAGTTGCAGAGATTCAATATTCCCAACTTTCATCATCACACACTAACGAGTTTTTATTCAATTTACAAAAACTCCATCTATTGTTCTGCAGCCATTTCTGTCTGTGAGAAATGTGAATGTCTTTAGGTGAAGACTTTTGACTCCTTTTCCCTCCTTTTCCCTGTCAGGCTGTCAAAGAGCTAACAAAATTACATGAAACAGGGAAGTCGTAGAGGTTGCGTGCTGTCACCACGACTGTAGATTAATCGCAGCCACACCATAGCCACAACTCATTGGTCACATGACAAACATGGAGACTGGCAGTTTGGGGTCAACTGCACAATATATGCCACAATGTCCTTGGCAATACTGTCAACAACATGGTTAAATAACACAATTACTTTCTGAGTTTTCACGGCTGTCACTGAGTACTGAAAGAAATAGACAATTTGTGAGGAGTCCTGGTCGTTAAATAATTGGGTGAAATATACACCCCATTTGTTGTCTCTGTAGAAGCGTTTCTCACAGACTATTACAGAATTACAATAAAAGTAGTAGTCAGGGGAAATGTAGTATTTGTATTGATGTCCCGTGGATGGAATATAGGGACACTGTTGTTAACATAGCAGGTTGTTACATCATCTGACTGAAAGGGAATAAGGTGGTTGAAATGTTACATCTGTACTCACAGACCGCCATCATATAGCTGGGATATTGCTGAGTTTAGTGTTAAACAACAAACAAACCAAACTTTATACCAAATTTTTAGTAGTTAAAAATTATTATTTAAGTTTGAGAGTCAAGTATGATTAGACATCAATTTAGAACTCGGGTAAGATTCCAGATAAAATCATATTACAGCTCAGTGTAAATACAAGAGGTTAGATAAGGACTTGGAGTTGAGATAGAACTGCTACATTGAGTAAAGATGCTAAGGAAAGTGTCCATAATGAGAAGCAACATAGATGACCTTTTTCATCCAGTTAGTAGATTACATTGTTAGTTTATCTGCCATGACAATAGAGAAAAAAGCCAGGCAGGTGCTTGCCGAGCCCCACCTTATGTCTGGAACATCTCAGGATGGTGTAAAGAGGGGATGCTGGTGTGCTAGACCCAACTCAAGACATCAGGCACTCTCCTTGAGACTGGCTGTTTCCAAAAGCACTCTGCTACTGCTGCAATCATCATTAATCAGATAATTAGGCATATCCTTATGACAGAGCTTAGATTTCTTTTGTAAATGTGCCACGTTTTGAGAATACAATTGATAGCTACAGACTGTACATCCTGGCTTTCTTCCCTTATTATATTTCCTCTATTGTAAGTACATACTACGGTATGGAAGGTATGACAGTTGTAGTACTGGCAGTGCTTCATTCAACGAGGCACAGAGGAGCCTACAGTTATCATGTAACTCTGAAAAACAGGCTAGTTCCACAAAATTCCTGCTCTTGAAAGCATGAACATATTTGCAATGGCAGCATTGACATATATGAGATGTTTGAGTCAATAAGTGCAGGAACATCATCCTGATTTATGAACGTGTAGGGACATTTATGATACAGTTGAGATATTATTTGGAATTAATTCTCAAGCTAACATGTATAAACTGGCAGTGTTATGAGTAATCACATGGTGGATATTACAAACCGCTGAAACTATATGCAGATGTAGCCACAAGGGAAATATGATCGGAAAGGATTCATGTGGATATTTCATTTGACTAATATTTTGTATTTTTTTTGTTCAAACTGGTGTCTGCCAAAATTTAAGCCAAAATTAAAATTTGCAAACTGTTTTATAAGGAATGTCTCCTTAAAACTTCAAATTTTTATTATGAGGCTGTAGCTAATCGAGCTATTTGTGTAATTCTGGTCACATCAGGGCCTAGATGTTTTAAGCTCTCTTGGCTCTAAGATAGTCATAAGTGCCATACATCTTAGTGCTAAGAGATCTTCGAAAATCCTGGTCAGTTTGCATATCCCAGTTTTCTTTGTTCTTAGATCGATGTCTTGAGCACACAAAGCATCAGCTGCTGGCAGGCTTGTGGACTTAATGTGATTTCAATTACTCACTTTTTTACCTCATTTCCATTTTTGCAACATAAAAACTCAACCTTTGTAACAAGAGACTTGAAAATAATTACCTTTTCCTCCTCCCGGGAAAACCATTAACACAACCCAACTTCTTGGAAATAATTGATTCCTTTGACTATTATCTTTGTTTCACATTTCTAAATACAATGAGCATGCTTTGTACAAAGATGAATGCATACTGTTAATACTGGTTTGATTTATAAGGAATGTCAAAACTTCAAATTTTATTATGAGGCTTTAAGGGTCTGAATAATCGAGCTATTTGTGTAATTCTGGTCACATCAGGGCCTAGATGTTTTAAGCTCTCTTGGCGCTAAGATAGTCATAAGTGCCATACATCTTAGTGCTAAGAGATCTTCGAAAATCCTGGTCAGTTTGCATATCCCAGTTTTCTTTGTTCTTAGATCGATGTCTTGAGCACACAAAGCATCAGCTGCTGGCAGGCTTGTGGACTTAATGTGATTTCAATTACTCACTTTTTACCTCTTTTCCATTTTTGCAACATAAAAACTCAACCTTTGTAACAAGAGACTTGAAAATAATTACCTTTTCCTCCTCCCGGGAAAACCATTAACACAACCCAACTTCTTGGAAATAATTGATTCCTTTGACTATTATCTTTGTTTCACATTTTTAAATACAATGAGCATGCTTTGTACAAAGATGAATGCATACTGTTAATACTGGTTTGATCCGATGATTGTCATTTGAATCACAGATCCATCCTTCTTAATCATTTTTGGTTTGTGTGTACCAACTTGGGTTGGTGGGTTTCCCTTCGTGGTAAAGACATGCATCAGTTTGAGTTTTCCTCTCACATGAACAAACACTCTGATATGACTGAATTACTTCTCAAATCTCCAATATACCCAACTCACTCACTCACTCACTCACTCACTGAAAGATCCTGAACTCCATTGTTAAACCCAACACTCGCTAACTTGTTGACATATATAGAGGTCTTAAGCTTTACTGTCACTCAGTTGCTCCATGATTCTTGGCTCCACTGTTAACTCCACAACTCACTCATTCACTCACTCACCCACTCACTCACTCACTCATACAATGAGGTACAGATATTTGCTGGCATGCTCTTATGGATTCTGAACTCCATTTAACCTAACTTCCTCACCTTCACACTTTATCACTAATGCATTCAGGTCAAGAGCTTTCAGATTCTCCCAGATTGTGAGTTCCTCTGTTGGTGGTTGTCATGGCAGCTACTGAGTGGATCTACATGTACTATGTATGTGTTCTGTCATGTTACAGGGGGCTACAGTAAAGAATGAGGGAGACTCGGTGATAATCGGGAGGATTGTCAAGGGCGGAGCAGCTGAGAAAAGTGGTGAGTATGTTGTTTTCATAAACAGGGTTCAAGGTTACATTATCTTGAAAACATCCAGTTGAGGAACCCATGCTTATCATGAGAGGCCACTAACAGGATCAGGTGGTCCTTGGTATGCGTGTCATTGTTTCCCAGTACCATTGACGGACGCTTATAATGTCAGTCACCTGTTTTTCTGGTCGAGACTTATAAACTTACAGATTGATGTCATTAAGCTGCAATGTCACTGACCGTGGCAATAAGTAATACACACACAAAGAAAATTAAACATGTTTGTGTTTCATGTAAGAAGAAAATAAAGCCAATCAATAATATATATAAGGTTCTGTGCCCACTAAGACAAACAATTGTAATCACCTGCCAAAAACCAATGTAATCTGGCTTAGACGTCATTACTGCTTGGTGGATGTTTCTCACAAACAGCTTCATTAGGTCAATTTAGGATTCCTTTTCTAATTCTAATTGTGCTAATTCTTGGTTGGATGTGAAAATACAGCGTAGTCCTCATTATTTACAGGTATTGCTGACTGTAACATGAAAACAGTTGGTAAAAGCTGATATCTGCATGTGTAACTTTGTTTCTATTGTCAGGTTTGCTTCATGAAGGAGATGAGATTCTGGAGGTGAATGGCATCGACATGCGAGGCAAAAATGTCAACGATGTGTCAGAGATGCTGGTGAGTGATGGAGAATGGTTCCGATTGGAATATATTATTCTAGTATGTTTGAAGTTTAAACAATAACTGCATGTAATACAGGGATATTATTTTTTTAGTATGTTCAACAATCAGGATTTAATGTTATATACAGGCCTATATGAGGGTGACCATATCATTCATTGTGAATTTGTAACAGATTGTTTGTATATGTTCAACACCAGTGGCTTGCTGTTATTTACAGGCAGGGAGAATACCATTTATTGTGACCAAGTCTTCAGTAACCCATACTTGTTGTAAGATAAGACTAACAGGATTGGGTGAACAGACTTGCTGACTTGGCTGACATGTCATCGTATCCCTATTGTGTAAATCGATGCTCATGCTGTTGATTACTGGATTGTCTGATCCAGACTGGATTATTTACAGACCGCCGCCATATAGCTGGAATATTGCTGAGTGCAGCATTAAACAACAACCAACCAACCAACCAACCAACCAACCAAACAACAAAGTATTACCACATGGATATTTATGTATATACAATGACCTACCATTGTTTACAGGCCTACATGACAGGGACGATAACATTTATGATCATCCCAACTCACAACTACGCATCACCCAAACCAGCCGCCCGACCAAAAGCAGTGAGTATAGAGGTGCCTGCATAAACTATTTGTACAACTATGTTCTACAGTAAATGTTTATTCAATAGATCGTAATGTTCCTTTGACAGTAACATTTATTGTCAAGGATCTGTAAATGTGAAGCATCAATACCAAAGATTAACCAGTTTCAGTTATTAACAGAATCCAGTGTGTGTAAAAGAAATAAAGCAAAGGAAAATTAAATCGTTGATCACTGTGAATACAACCAGGTTTGTGCCCTAACACCTGTAACTCAAAACATTTGCATAAGAACGAAAGTGTTTGTAGCCTGACTCCACAAAGACACTGTTTCAGATTTAATACATTTTCTGAATTATATGAATGTTATATAAGTTTATAGAAACTAATTTTACTATCATCCCTCAATTATAGATTTTTACTTCGTTATGAGCTGGTGAAAAATTATGAAGATAAACATGAAATATGTTTAGGAATATAGTATATGTGTGGTGATGTTCTGCAGGTGCACTTACGAGCGCTCTTCAACTATGACCCTGAGGACGATGCGTATATCCCGTGTCGAGAACTGGGGCTTTCCTTCATGAAGGGAGATATCCTCCATATTATCAACCAGGACGATCCCAACTGGTGGCAGGCCTACAGAGAAGGCGAGGAGGAGCACCAGTCACTAGCTGGGCTTATACCCAGCCGGCTCTTCCATGAACAGTAAGTGGAGTAATCACTGGCTGGGCTTATACCCAGGCGGCTCTTCCATGAACAGTAAGTGGAGTAATCACTGGCTGGGCTTATACCCAGGAGGTTCTACCATGAACAGTAAGTGGAGTAATCACTGGCTGGGATTATACCCAGAAGGTTCTACCATGAACAGTAAGTGGAGTAATCACTGGCTGGGCTTATACCCAGGAGGTTCTACCATGAACAGTAAGTGGAGTAATCACTGACCGGGCTTATACCCAGAAGGTTCTACCATGAACATTAAGTGTACTAATCACTGGCTGGGCTTATGGCTGGGCTTATACCCAGGAGGTTCTACCATGAACAATTAGTGTAGTAATCACTGACCGAGCTTATACCCAGCTTGATCTTATGTGGACAGTCTGTGAAGTAATCGCTGCCTAAAACCTTCCAGGCTCTTCCATAAATAGTAACCACACTGAACACAGATCAGCTAGTTTAAGGACGATGTGTTTCTTGATGCTACATGGCAACCTTTGTTAATCACTCTTAGTACCAAAGTGAAAAATAACTGATTGGGAACTTGCAATTGGGTTGTATTTTGTTACAGACGTGAGACTCTGCGTCAAACTATGCCAGGAGATGGGAAGGACGGCAAGAAGAAGGGGCGATCGTGTGTCTGTGGGAAGAGAGACAAGAAGAAGAAAAAAAGAAGAAACGATCCTCCCTCTACACTGGGGCTGACGAGGGTAGGTGTCATTACCTGATCCACAGGTCAGGTGCTGGGTGTGTTCACCCCCCTATTTTAACACTTTAACACATGAAGATCCGGGTTAGAATTGATCTTCTGCAACCCATTCTTGTCGTAAGAGGCGACTAATGGGATCGGGTGGTCAGGCTTGCTGACTTGGTTGACAGATGTCATTGGTGTCCAATTGAATAGATCAATGCTCATGCTGTTGATCACTGGATTGTCTGGTCCAGACTTGATATTTTTACAGACCACTGCCATATAGCTGGAATATTGTTGAGTGCGGTATAAAACTAAACTCATTCACTCACTCACTCTCTTACTCATTTTACAATTTATAATATTGGTCTGTCACAGCTGTGGCTGTGCTTCTAGGTTATAGCAGTGTTTTGATGTCACATGTATAATTAATTCTTCTTCTGCATTATGGTTTATGCATGTCATCAAGCATAAGATCTTTTATTTGCAGAAGCAGAAGAAATCCTCTCTTATGAAGAAATGGTTAAATATTTACCTCAGCCAAACAGAAAAAGACCAATTGCCTTAATTGGCCCATCAAATGTTGGGAGGGCAGAACTCAGACAGCGTCTCATGGAGTCCGACTTTGACAGATTTGCTGCAGCTGTTCCTCGTATGTTGATCTGCTCTTTAGTTTTGGACATAGTAATTTATTTGAAGTTTTATGATGTTCAATGTTATCAGCAAAAGGAACTGATTTTTGTTTGTTTTTATAAGTTTGAACTAAGTAGAGGTATGTCTGCCTGTCTGTCTGTCTGTCTGTGAGTACATAAGTCACAATGAGTCTTTGAGTGTTTTGGCACAATGGTTAAACAAACAATATATTTTTAATGTGTTTCCATGCATGACTTCATAAACCCTTAAATAATTTTGTGTAGTGACAAATTATTCAGATGAAAAATGGTTATCACATTAAGTGCTGCTCTAACCATGGAGATGAAACATATCTTGACAGACACAAGTCGAGTCCGCAAACCTGAAGAAATCGAGGGCAAGGACTACCATTTCATCTCACGCACCATGTTTGAGGCAGACATCTTGGCCCAGAAGTTTATTGAGTATGGCGAGTTTGAAAAGAATCTGTACGGCACAAGTCTGGAGGCTGTGAGACAAGTGATCAACCAAGGAAAGATCTGTGTGCTCAATCTCCATGCCGATGTAAGTATATGCTCCAACACTGTCACATCAAGCTGACATAATCATAATCTTATAACTGAAATATTATTGAGAGTAGCATTTAAAAGCTGCTGCAGGAAGGGAGATAACTCTTGACTGAAAGTTTTTCAACTAGAGCTAAATGTTACCCATTGTACTGAGTTCTTTAACAGTGTTTTTCTGTTTTGTTTGCCAGGCTGTGAAACCGCTGTACACATCAGACCTGAAGCCTTATGTGATATTCGTGTGTCCCCCAAACCTGGAGAAGCTTCGTGCAGTGCATGTGAAACTGGGCAAACCAGCAACACCGGTATGTATACGTCTCAACATCATTGCAGTCAACATTCCCGCAACAGGGATGACATATTCAAAGAAATAGTCATATTTAATGCTTTGTAAGGTCTGTCATTCCATTTAGGTGGGAGTATGGATGGCTCAGTTGTCTCAGGTTCTGCAATAGAGTCATATCCCTTAGGCTTGCCCGGAAATTGTGACTCTGGTACAGCCCTGATAATGTATAAAGTAGGGGTGGGTATTGCAGAGAATTTTCATATTGCGATATATTGCGATGCGAAGGCATATATTGCGATATGTACCGTATATGACCGTCTATAAGACGACCCCATGGATAAGACGACCCCTAAACTTGACCCTTAAAATCAGTGTCAAAATGGTATGTTTCGTGCATAAGTCGATCCCCACGATGGGGTCCTAATCGCGGCAAACACAGACCACAGACAACTGGCAGTTACCAATAATTATAACTTTGGTCCACATTATTCAAAGAATTCACAGTCATATATATTGTGTCTACTCACGGACCGAAATGAAGTGTAGTTGACAGAAAATGCATAATATATTTTGCTTCTCTAAATATCATATTTATTGTAGCAACAAACTGGCTTGCTTATTTTACACCATACAACAATCATGAACTGATTACCGCCTCGTTTTCCACTGACTGCTAGTTTACAGTAACATCGGTAAAAATGTGTGAATTTAAATGGCGTCCGTATTTTACCCCATTCCATGTGCTTACCACGTTCATGAGGGTCCGTATAACCTTAGTGTTGATTATATATATTTTACATAAAAACTGTAAATAAAATTACACAATGCTAGGATATATTTCTTTGGGTTAAATAATAGTATTCTGTATTATATTTTACTGACGACTGCGTCAGAATTCATCCCGTTATATTATTGTGCATGTTTGAACTTGTTCGCCGAGAAACGTGTGCAAAAATGCAGCTGATTGCTATTTCCGGCTCAAATACACACGGTAATCTTAATTAATTTATAGAGCAAAAACTGTAACTAAAATTACACAATGCTAGGATATATTTCTTTGGGTTAAATAATGGTATTCTGTATTATATTTTACTGATGACTGCGTCAGAATTCGTCCCGTTATATTATTGTGCATGTTTGAACTTGTTTGCCGGGAAACGTGTGCACAGCTGATTGCTATTTCCGGCTTTGTGTACGAGACAAATACGCACGGTAATCTTAATCCCTGCAAATAATACAATGCCCAGCAAAAACAACTTATACTAGTAACTTAAAAGGTAAATAATCTTGCCTAGTGATGTTTAATTGCAAATTTGACGTCTCTACTGACAAAGTCGTCTTCTGTTGTTTGTTCACACGAAGTGATACGATGTTGTTTTCTTACCCCTGGAAAAAAGTTTGACGAAAGCGTAACCCATGGATAAGATGACCCCCTTCTACAGACTGCTTTTTGGTCCTCAAAATTCGGCTTATAGACGGTCATATACGGTATTGCAATATATTGCAAGAAGTTTTTTCATCGAAAGAAACTACTTATACTCGAGTTAATGCTTGATTTATACAACAAAAACAAAACAAAATCATCATGTTTGACTAAGCTTTAATAAAAACTTTTAATCCTGACAAAATAAAACTAAATAATATTTGGCACAAATGAAACAAGGCAATATCCGAAGATTTCCGAGTGTTATGAAGTTTTCCGAATGCGTATTGCGATACGTATCGTTTTCATGTCTGAACCGGTAAATACAGGTAAACCGGTTATATTACGCAGCCCTAGTACAAAGGTCTTTGAAAACCGTGCACCAGTGTTGTAAACATCTGAACTCACGCTCACACACGCTATTCCATTGCAACAACAAAAAAAAGAAAGAGATTTTATTTCATTCTTTTGCTGTTGGTAAAGTTGCATTGATACCAGACTCACACACCAATGCCTGTTATGGCTGCATGGCCCTCATTGTTCAATGACACAATGTCGTTGTAGCAGTGGGGTAGCTGAGTGGTTAATGCATTTGCTTGTCATGCCAAAGACCTGGGTTTGATTCCCCACATGGTTTCAATGTGTAAAGCCCATTGCTGATGACCCTGCTGTGATATTGCTGGAATATTTCTAAAAGCGGCGTAAAACAAACTCACTCGCTCACAATGTCGTTGTTTTAAGTTATGGTCATGCTGACCTTCCACAAGTAGTCAGCTGTAAACCTGATATGATGTGAAGCGTAGTTTATGCTGGACCGTTTTTACATCTGTGTTCACAAATCCACCAACTCTAAAACCCTTAAATGTGAAAAAAGAGATAGTCAGAAGTGTTTGTTGTATAGCACCTTAATAACATATATATTTATTGACCAGGATGACGAGCTGAAGGACATCATAGAGAAGGCTCGCGAGATGGAGGATGTATATGGCCATTACTTCGACTACATCCTGGTCAACCAGGACCTCAACAGGGCATACGATGAGCTCCTTCAAGAGATCAACCGCCTTGAGATCGAACCACAGTGGATCCCAAAACCTTGGGTAGACTCTTTCATGTGAGATGATCAGAGACCGGTTGGGTCTTGCTTCAGCAATACTTCATTCATGGATTACTGTGACCTGTGTACTTCATGTGCTACCAGACTAATGTGTGCTCAGACATAAGAGTGCTGAAACAGAAACTATGGGATACTCCTATGATAGACGCAGGACCATGTTATGGAGACTACAACTACGCCAGAGTGAAAGTGTTGCTGGGATGATGTTATATGTGATCAAGCTGTGAGAGATCCTCACAATCAATATGTACATTGAAATCACGAATATTGATATTAAGTAATGTGGAGTGTGATAGTTCTGAGTTCTTGTGACAAGATCAGCATTGCCTCATAGGCAGGCCAAGCAAACAAATCATGATCCTAACTGGTTCACTGAACACACTAACAATGTGATTGGCTCATAATGCCTCTATCAAACACCTTCCAGTGTATACTACACACAAGGACGTCGTGATCATCTGATAATGCTTCTATCAAATTACCTTCCTGTGTAAGGCACTGAACTGTCTGGTGCACTGGGTGAGTCCACACAACTAAGGAAGTGTCCTGTATATAAACAAGAAAGCCTTATGGAACAGATGATGATGATGATGAATGGGTCTTTTCTACGACTGACGTTTTACTTGTGACAAGCAATAATCAAGACACCAGACACTATGGTCTGATGGAAATAAATATTAATAACATGCTACTCGGAACAGGTGCACTGTCAATGTGTACATTGCTGCTCAAGGCATCTGTTACCATGGTTACAATATTTATCATTTTTTTTGTGACATTTACCTTCATTCTTGGGAGTAATACTTCTGGGAGCAATGTTTGACCCATTTTTCTTATTCCACTTCTATTTCTGTAGTTTTCTCCACATTCAACATGATACAAGTACAAGGTTGTGCCTTATAGAGATCTGTTACCCTGGTTACCAAAGTTTTAATTCTGTTATGAGATGGTTAAAGAGATTTATCATTCAGTGGCTGCGGCCATGTTTTTCACCATGGTTACCATGGTGATGTAGACAGCATGCCTGACAAGGCTGACTCTTGAATCTGTCTACATCTGAATTTACAAATATGAATATTTTACTCGAAAGAAATGGTTTTATTTGTTTTTGCATACGATTATGGTTGAAATATTTTTAATTTCTTTAAAAGCTACTGAGTTTAAAAGTGTTCAAAGGATGTGCAGTCATTGGTCACAAGTAAGTTAACGAAATTTCATTCTAGTTAGGGTTCACAGCAAATCTTCATTACTTTACTTCATACAGTATTTTAAATTGGAATACAATGCTATTGTATGAATTAATGTAAATAATTTTATTAGTTCTCTGAATGTCACAGAAGTGACACTAAAATACATTACTTGGCAACATTTTTTGACAGATTCATTATGGTGTCATATGACTGAAATTTAGGGCAGTGTTGCATGTCTGTCATGCAGGAGTATTCTAAACAAAGAACATGTATGAATATATGAAAAGCTAGTGAAATATTGTGTGTTTTGCTTCACTGAGGTATCACAGAACCTTATGGTGTTATACATTGTGTAACTTGTCTTTGACCAATGAGGGTATTTTTAGCAAGTCCAGTTAGTGCAGACATTCATATATATGAGAACACATGACCACAAGAGAGAGGGCATCTTCACTGTCCAACCCGTGAAGGTCCGGATTAGAATATTGGCCTTCAGTAACCCATGCTTGTCGTAAGAGGCGACTAACGGGATTGGGTGGTCAGGCTCTCTGACTTGGTTGACACATGTCATCGGTTCCCAATTGCGCAGATCGATGCTCATGCTGTTGATCACTGGATTTTCTGGTCCAGACTCGATTATTTACAGACCGCTGCGATATAGCTTGAATATTGCTGAGTGTGGCGTAAAACCAAACTCACTCACTCACTCCTCACTGTCCAGGGCATTATTATTCTATTCTGTTATGAAAAACACCCTGGATCCACTCAACAACAAAGCTATTTTTCTTGAAAAGTGATATTATCTCGATTCCTCATATCACGAACTTAGCACAGAATTACTGTTGCTCATTGGTGTAATTTGATTGGATGGCTATATTTAGTGTCATGTCATGTGCATCACAGTCATAACTGAGCTATAGTGGTGATAGGGTCAAGGGTATTTATCATGATACATAGAATATTATTCCCTGGATGACTGAGGATGAGCCAGTACATTCACATGCTTCATAAGGTCAGGTAATAATAATTCAAGGTGCTAAGGTCAGTGAACTTGTTGTGCATGAGGGAGCAAACTGACCTTTGAAAGTAATATTTATGCGATATGACCCTGTCATCCTGATCGGTAGAGCAACTATAAACATAAAACCTGCATTATGCAATAATATCATTGTGTCCATCAATAACACTGTCTTCCATACCATGCTAATAATATGCCACGATGTATCTACTGTCTGTAAAAACATGTTCATGACGGCGTCTAGCATTCATATACACCCATCAGTGTGTGTTAGGCTACATACAGGCTGTATCTGACCCTCACAGCTGTACTCCAGACACCCACAGACACCCTGAGGGCACCTACTTGATGGCCCCAGACACCCTGAGGGCACCTACTTGATGGCCCCAGACACCCAAGCTGCCAGTATGCTATTGCTACTAATGGTCATCTTGGCTCTGTCAGTAGGGACCTGTTGCTGTCAATAGAGGCAAAGACGTCATTTGGCATATAGGTTTCTTTGTAATTTATTGTACTCAATTTGGATAGGGATACTGTGACACACCATGCTTGTCAGATATATGTTTATCAGCAGAATTTGATGACTTTATGTAAAGACCTGTGCCTCAATTGACCCATGCAATCGCTTCTTTTGGGATACTCTGTTGACAGATGGTACTATTACTGTAGAAAATACGGGAAAATCTCCAATAAAAGTTTGATTTGCATATACAAATGTAATTATGTCTTGATAAAAGCATATTTATCATTGTTTTTTAATGTAAAGACTAGCAACCATTTTAAATTGTAGGGTTCATCAGGATCATTGGGTGCCCTTTTTAAGGGGTTAACCAAATAAGATGTTTGTCTAGGAGTGGACTGGGACTTGAATACATCCCTGTAGGGTTCAGGATACAGCCAGGGTCTTCCATCTGAGCCTGAGTAGCTGTTGTGGAGGTATTGTACAGCACACAGGATACCTATCATCTGTAGGACACAGGTATACATTCATCACAAACATAGAGCAACACATCTCTCATATCACAGAAGACAATGTATGTGTTGTGCTATTGTGAAATACCATATTTACTGTAATAAGCACCCTGTTCCAATAAGCTCCCTTACACAGACTGAAAATTAACTTAACAGTTTATATTTTCATGTGTAATTTTAAGAATTTGTTTACAAAAATCTGCATGGGAGGGGTATACAATTGCCTTGTAACTATTATTGAAAAATGTTTAGGTTTCATTGATGTTTGAAGTTATTGTTTGTAACTACTGCACCGTCTCTGAGAACAGATTTAAGCTGTCATTGATGGTTTAATGAGCATACCCTATCCCAGTTTCCGTAGTGCCTGTCAAAAAAGTTAGATTACCTGGAAGAAATCAAATTCAGACAGAGATTAGCAAAGTTCTGAATGAGAACATTTTTTGGCGTTGCAACATTCTGTGGAACACTCTTAATCGAAACAGTGCTTTCTAATTAATCAAGAAAACTAAGCTGACTGACAGAAGATGTTTCTATTCTGATAGATAGTTTCACTGTATGCATCACAGACTGGCAGCTGGAATATGTACAAGATGTGACTTGTTCCTATTCATGCCAGTATGGCATCCAAGACTGGCTTCCACATGAGATACTGCTAGGGATAGATCAAACTGCAGATGATTGAGACTTCATGGTTACCATGACATCAATCAAATGTCATCACTTACCTCCATACCACTGAAGCTTGTTTGCTGTACTTTTTAAAATACATTAAAAACTATTACTGTTTACAACCTGGATGTGTTGGAAGAATGATTATGGATGATGTATTGAATCTCACCCTTGTATCTTTTGAGATAAAATATATGCACACTCGTCGCTAAAAGTTTTAAAATCAACCTTTATTGACTTGTATGGATATTGTAACATGTGGGTTCATATCCTGAATGGGACTCAACTCAAAGAAGTTCCAGAATCTAGAGTTTGAGAAAGTGTAACCCTAAATACAACAGGTTACATTTCTGCATAGCACTGTGTAATCATTGTATGGATATTTGTATCAAAAGACACTTGGATGGGATTCTAATATGTCTAATATTTAATCAGAATCAGCTGGTATTTGTTCTCTGTGTGACATTAAGTATTTTCAATGCTGAATTGAATTATTTCAGAAAAAATGCATTATTTTGAACAGATGCAATGAGTCTTGATTGTGGTGTTGAGTCCCCAGGTTAACAGTGTGTGTTCTGTGGTTGCTGGCGGCTGTGTCAAGACAGATGTGAATGTTTTCAGAGAACAATGTACAAATGACAACAGGAAATTGGGCAGGTTAATTGTCAGTTTTGCACTATTTTGCTAGCTATAATATATACTAGATGTATCAAACAGTTGCACACACCAAAAACAACACTGCCATTAATGTGAATGATGGCGTCTTTCAAATTTATATTTTACAGTGGTTGTGACTACACATTCACAGAAAATAACCTAATACTCTAAAGAAATGAGATTAATTGATTTTTGTTTTTAATTGTTCAGTAAGAAACATATCAGAGATAGTAAATATTGAGAAATAAATGTTGACTGATACATTGATTTCAGTACTCAAATTTACGCTGTATAGTGTCCTTACGATTTCATGGACATTGAAACTTCCTGTACATGTATAAGGGTTGAAATGAGTGTGGTGTGATATGTTGTGGCAGCTTGTCTGTGAGACAGTGTTGCGTGTGGACTGTTTTCCTCCCGTGTGGTACTGGCTCCCTCTAAATGCTTCTGCCTGTGTACATTGCCAGCTTAGATCAGAACAGTAATATATCTCTACCTCAATCACTGTGTACAGAGAAATCAAGAAATGTGTCTTCAGTAGTAACAAATGCACTTGTATCATAACAGTTTAGGCCTTTTCTTTATCAGTGGTTGGTTTAGAAATGTTTTGGACTAGTGTTCTGTGAAGGTGGTCAACTTTTTATCTTACATTTTTTTTAATTTCAACTTCCAGATTAATTCTGCTTCCAATGCATGAAAATAAAGTTGTTGGTCACATCATGGAATTGTTATGAAGAATATGTACTAATAGATATTTTGATTATGTTTTGTTACACTAAAGATTTTTAAATGTACTAGTCAGTATATCATACAAAAAGTGGTGATAAAATCTATTTGTTTTTAATTTTGCTTATTTGTGAACAGTTGGTCAATTTAAGATTGTAAAGTCCCTTAGATGTCCAATATAACACGTCTGCCTAACCTGTTATCCGGTTAAAGGGTACATGGGATTTAATTATTATTTTTCTATAATGGTACAATACTGTTTTGTTAATTTTCCAGTCCAGCTTTTCAAAGAGAGAATGTGAATTCCTTTTCTTTTTATGACCTCTTATTTACAAACCTTAGATATATGACTATTCAGTTACTGTATTATTGGACCAACAAGCAAGCCCCTTCCATTGTCATTTTCAGTCTTCATGTCCATCCTACCTGACCAATCGGCAGCGTCTCTTCAGATAAGCATTTGTAAAATAATCGTCCAAGTACATCCTGCACAAACTGAATGCCCTATTTCTTGAACCAAGCTTTTCTGTTTGTGTTCAAAAGCCTGCCCTTGGTGTGCGATGGATGTACATGCAGACAACAGGTTGCCATAGTTACTAGTACCTCTCATATTCTTCAGTGTGTACGTCTTTGACTTGTATGTTGTCTTGCCCCAGTGCCAGTATTGACCTTACTGTCCCTGTACCAGCAGACTTACGTATACAGTTCATTAGTATTGTCAAATTCTGAAATGACCCAGATGTTTGAGCTGCTGATGTGTGGAGGAGTGACTCTTAGGCTTGCAAAACCCAACAATCTTGTGTTGTATTTGCAGCACCCTACCCAAACTCATGGGTTTTATGAAAGTGGTAACCATGTGAAGCTGCTTAAGTTAGGGCTTTCCTTCCAAACATCAAGCCGTCATATTGCTAAACAGACAGCAATACTCAATCACTCATACACTCACTCACTCACTCCAACATCAAGCTGACATGATTTGGTTGACACATGTCATCGTATCCCAATAGTGTAGATCGATGCTCATGCTGTTGACCACTGGATTGTCTGGTCCAGACTCGATTATTTACAGACTACCACCATATAGCTGAAATATTGCTGAGTGCAGCGTAAACCCAAACTCACTCAGGCTGACAGGCTGGGATAGAAAGCAACTCAGTATGTGAAACCCCCACAAAATTCCCAGTTTTGAGTCCTAGTTCTCCTGGTTGAGTAGGATGTAGCACCTGTAGTTGGCCAGTTTTATCACTCATGGTTGAGGTGTTGTGTTGAACAGCTGACTGTTGAGTTGTTACATGTGCAGTTGGCAATAAGTCCGTACACTGATAACTGCGGGCAACATGCTGCCTTTGGTCGAGGCACCTATTATCAGTGGTGGTTGGTAAGCCTTGTGGTTGAAGCATTGACTCACCAAGCTAACCACACGGGTTCAATTCTGTACACATTCTGTGTCCTGCTGCAGTAATAAGGCTGGATCAATTTCATGCCAAGCTACCTTGTGATACCAACTAAAGGTGATACAAATAGCCTCGGAGTGACCCTATTTGGACTTGTTTCTAAATTGGCCTATTGGCCTTGCTTCAGGTAACATGCCCTTCTTATGTACCACTCAAAAGAAGTAACAGAACACCCAAATCTTTGACTACTATAGTCAATCAGTCATCGCTTACTGATTAACTTGAGTAATATACCTTCTTTTGAGTAGTGAGTGAGTGAGTGAGTTTAGTTTTAACCGCGTTTTTAGCAATATTTTAGCAATATCACAGCGGGGGACACCAGAAATGGTCTTCACACATTGTGCCCATGTTGGGAATCGAACCCAGGTCTTCAGCATGACAAGCGAATGCCTTAACCACATGGCTACCCCACTGCCCCCTTTTGAGTAGTTAATATAGAACACAAACACAGGAACTTGTTAGTGTGTGCTGGTGCAAGGACAGCACCTCTGTACCTCGTGTCCATGTGTACATAGCTGTCTGTCTCCTCTGTACAGTCTCCCTCGTTAACCCCCAACATGCCGACATCCCTCACCTACTCACTGTATACATGGAGAAGCAATACACTGAGACTCATAGGGTCAATATGTTGTTTATACATTGTTATATAATAGCACACATAGCCCAGTAAGTTCTCTTTAACTGTATATATATGTTTCATTTCATGGAATTCCCAGACTGATGGATTTGGGGAGTGTCTATTTATCAAAGTTTATTATATTTTTACTAGATTTTGTAGAGCCGTCCCTGCTCTGCCACAAGATCAACATACCAGACTTGTGTATATGTCAGTTATTTTATGCCAAGGGAAACATATCATAATTATCAAATCATCAATAAATATATAAAATGTACAGTTTGTTGGGTTGTTTATCACTGGAGGAGTCACTGAACTGGATACTGATTTCCTGCTATGGATACATATTGCCATCACGTCTGCTCCAAACCCGTCAAGATCCCAGTCAGAATTGGTCTCCGCAGCCCATGTTTGTCATAAGAGGCAACTTGTTGGATCAGGTGGTCAGACTCGGCTGACACATCATCATATTCCAGTTGCGTAGATCCATACTCATGTTGATCACTAGATTGTCAGGTCCAGTCTCAATTATTTACAGACCCCTGCCATACATCTGGAACATAGCTGAGTGTGACGTTAAACAATACACAAAACAAACCGTCTGCTGCGTGGTTTCATCATTCTAAATCAAACTGACACACTGTCATACTGATACTGACATTAACTGATTCAGAACATTACTAAATTTGGAAATATTTGATCTCTGAACTTTTCAATCAAGCTTGGACACCTCAAGTGAAGATGTCAATAAGCTGCTTACGTGAAGATGTGCTGATATTGGCATACAACCTGTGATACGATACATCACGAAACTAAAATTGTCGTCACGACGATATATTTCCAAAGTAATGTGCACTTAAGCTGCGATACAATACGAATCCAAATATAAGGGTGGTGATACGATACGTATCACAATACTAAAATCTTTTATTCTAACACCAACTATAACGCACCTTAAGATCAAAACAAACCCATTCATCAAATTCTGCCAGGGTTTTTCAATGCTCATTTGGAGTGAGTGAGTTTAGTTTTACGCCGCACTCAGCAATATTCCAGCTATATGGCGGCGGTCTGTAAATAATCGAGTCTGGACCAGACTATCCAGTGATCAACAGCATGAGCATGCACTATATACAACTGACAGAGAGCCCAATTCGTGCTAGCACTGGAAATTACACTTCACCTGAAGGTGAAATGAAGCAAGTTTTAAATAATCTTGATCACTATAATATTTACAATTGAAATACAGAAATGGAAAACCATTTTATACAGAAAAACAAATCTGAAAATCATGTGCACAGATTTATTCCTTTGACATTGTCAAGTTGTTTTTATGCCTCTTCGAAAGGTATTGTTTATTTTTTCTCAAACCCTCGAATATGGATTTAGTGCTAAAAATGGAAGGTTTATTATCACAGCAAATGTAGGCTGGGGAACATGAGGCTTAAACCACATGACTTCATGACATAATCCATGATATCATGATCTGTCATGACACAAAAAGTATTTTCAGTCACAAAGTCTTTCCCATTGAATTACATTTACAACCAATCAGAGAAAGTATTCTCAGTCAAGAAGTCAAGATTCTTTCCCACTGAATATCATTTACAATCAACCAGATTGCAGCACCTTGTTCACCTTGTACAATGCCTCATACCTTGCTGGATTCAAACAACAGATCATCTGATTGGATAAGAAGACTTCCCACACTTCAACCACAACTTCATCAAGACTTCTCTTTCACTACTTCATCTATTTTGTCAATGAGTTCCTCTTTCGACATCATACAGTTGCTCCTCTTCCAGATTTGTCGCAGCTCGTTGAGCGTCTTGGCAAATACTGGTCCTTTGGGAACATTGTGTGCGAAGAGGTCATGGCCTGTCACCGGGAACTTAGGGGGGGACCAGCATGCAAGCTTGTCCGCTTGGGTCCCCTCACCCTTATACAGCATCAGTTGTATGATCCTGTCCTTCACCTTGGGCTCCCTGCCAACAGTGTCTATGATCAGGTCCTGGCAGTATTTGGACAGAGACTCACCAACATCATCATCACGATGCTGTATAATAAACAGACCAAGTTTCAGTTCCTCGGATGATAATTTCAGCCGTTTGTGTAAGTCATACATCTGAAATAAACAGTAAAATATCATTTATTAGATGACACATCATGTCCACTTTCAATGAATACCAGCAGTACAGTCTGTTACCATGGTTACTAAGCAACTCGACAAATTTTGTTGCCAACCCCTTTTTGACTTCATAAGATTTTTGGCTAAAACATAATAATCATGAGTGAGAGAGTGAGTTTAGTTTTACACCGCTTTTAGCAAAGGTTCCAGCAATATCACGTCGGGGATCAACAGAAATTATACCCATGTGGGGAATCGAACCCAGGTCTTTAAAGTGAATGCTTTAACCACTAGGCTATCCCATCGCCCCAAATAATAGTAGTAAGACAAATAACAATCCTCACCTCCGCCTCTCCAGGCAGTAGCGCGGACAATCTTGTCATGGGCAGGGGAGACAATCCTTCCGTGTTTGCAAACACTTCAAGGAAGTGCTGCACATTAGGTTTCTCTGGAAGTCCTGGAACAGGAATTATTTGAATGAATACCATACAATACAAACAGAAACAGTAACAGCTATGTCCCACCTGGATCACAGCCTGTTATCCAGACCAGACCTATTCCAACCCCAATCCCAGCAGAACCTCTCTCAGGTATATACAGGGCACATCTGAATCCCCACCAACTGGTTCCAAATTGGTCAAGACTACACCCAACTGTGCAACTCTGATGAGTATGTAATATCTCCAGAGGCCAGACACTTGTTCAGAACCGCTAGTGCCTGCAAACGCATGATCCTGAACGCCTGTGCCCGTTTGAGCCCGCGCGCCCGCACGCCGCAAACCATCCTCACAGCTGCCTCGCCAAGCGAACCAAGACGGCAACCATGTTTAATGTCATACGTCACCACTCGCCCCTTTCCTTAACCTCCAACAAGAAGACAAGAAGCTATTCGGCTTGTCCCGGAATAACACGAGTTGGTCACGAATGGTTTAATGTAACCAAGCTCTCGTGTCCGTTCAGGGCTGATGCGAGCTCTCGCGGGAGGCAATAGGCGCGGCGCTCGCGGTTCTGAACACGCCTCAGGTCTTGCCAAAGTCTTGAGGGAACATGGGTGACCCAGGTTTTTGTGCAGAGTTGCCTCCCTTAGGTTTGCAAAATAATGGGTAGCCATTATTACGTATATTGGGTTGTCAGCACCAAACCTATACCGAAATGGTAACTGTCTCAGAGCTGCATCACTTCTAGGCTTTAAACTCCCCTCAAGCTGACAAAAAGGAATACCATTCAAAGGAGTGAGTGAATGAATATGATTTTATGTCACTTTTAGCAATTTTGCGGCAAGGACACCAGAAATGTGCTTCACACACCAATCATTGTGAATTCACTCACCAATAAAAGCTCCAACACCCAGCTCTATCATGGTCTGTACAATGGGGCCGGCATAATTCCCAGTCATGATTTTCTTAACTTCAACCCACAGGCGCTCGCCAGATATTCCTGTAAAAAATAGCCGAAGAGGTAATTTGCAATCATTTTGCAATGGATAATGCATCATAAAAAAGGATATATGCTTATATCTTTAACATTATGTTCAACTATCAATTACAATCAGAAACATTCATGTAATAATTTCATGAGTGCCAAAATAATGAATCATGTATACCAAAACTGTCAAATAAAATCTAAGATAGTTATGTCAAAGAGACTTACATTTTGATTTAACTAAAAAATAACTTTGCATACATGTACTTGTATACTAAAATGCTGTATAACCTGATAACATGGGAACACAAATATGTGTTTTAGTCTTAGAAACCAGCTCAACAGCTGTCACTGCCTCATACCTAGTCTCAATCGATCCTACTGCTAATTTACACTTATTAGATGAACGGACAGGAAAACAAAACTAATTTGAAACAACCATTATGTTGACATATTATGCGTTAAATAATGATGAATTAACTAAGGGCCAAGATTTTACTTCGAGACAACCATACATTTGTCACATAATTGTTTGATACAACAGTGCTTGACTGTACTTCACATTGAACAACAGGTCAAGAAAATTAGGCAAAAGCTATCTCAATGTAGAGATACCAGGGATTTATCTTGAAATCAAAGCTGTGTGCAAACTGAGAAAATGTAGTATAAAAGTAGTTATTATATAGTTCTTAATTTCATAGGTGTCACTTTGCTTTCAATGCAGTGATGTAAAATTTTATCATTTAATTTAAACCATCCTATTATCAGTTAGGTACATATCCACAACCCAAGCCATCGCTTTAGTTATGAATATTAACAGTGAGACATATTTTTCATCTGTTTTGTGAATACAACATCTGTTCAGACTTATGGCCAAATTATAAGCCTTTGAGCAGGCCAAGTAACCATAGTAACAATCATGACAACAAAGTTACCAACCAGCGAGGCCATGTGCATTCTGCCTGATGGAGTCCAACGTCTCAGGCTCATGGAGACTGGGGCCCCCGAGCAATGCGTCCATAGAACCTGTATATACAAACATGTTTTGGTCAGTCATCCTGTCATCTAGACTTGCACAAGTCTTTAAGGTACTAATTAATAGTTAAAATGATAATTTCTAAAAAATAAACCTAACACATTTCCCCACTAACGGTCAGCAAGCCTTGGAGCAAGGCTACCTGTCATCCACCAGTGCTAAACTGGTCGACAGAATTCACATCATGCACTGACACTTATACAGTCAAGTCTCGTTAATCCGACTCCCGTTTATCCGACAATCGGCTTTATCCGACACCTTTTATGTTAACAAATTGAATAGGCCTAATTTAGTTTCGATAATCTGACAGTCCCGCGTTCCGACTCCGACAGCCCCAATTACAACCGACTGTCGTAATCACTTAGTAATTAGTCCTGTTAATCCGACATTGAGATAAGCAACGTGTGCGATCAATTACCCGTGAATACACTTCCACGCGTCACTGAAGATGTTACGACAGGTGAGGAGCAATGAGGATTATGAACACAAATTCTGCCATCTGATGAACATCGTTTAACACTAATTACACATGCACGCACGTGCACACGCACGCACGCGCGCAAGCACGCACGCACACTTATTATGAATCATGACGGTCCTGTTTTTGACCATGAACGCGATATGTACTCAGAATTACATAATCCGACATCCTCATTAATCCGACATTTTGCTGTGCAATGGACGATGTCGGATTAACGAGACTTGACTGTATATATTATACTGACAAATGTGCAACAAACAACTGATTACTGATACAGGCTGATAGAAGATAAAGTTGATGTTTCACTTGCTAATACAGCGCACTGTGCCAAAACTGCAACATCAACAACATTTCAATTATACCTATGAACTGAACATCATTCATGGTTTAGGATTTGTTTGTTTGTTTGTTGTTTAATGCCACACTCAGCAAAGTGATTATGTACAGACTGACGCCATAAAGCTAAACATTGCTGAGTGCGGCATTAAACAAGAAACAATCAAACAAAACTATTCTGTTTCAGTGTATGTTATTGCCCTGACCTGAAGTAGCGGAGTATTCGGAGATAGTCTTCCTGCATCCTTTCATCAGCAACACCCACAAAGCGAACACGTCGCTGTTCAAGGTCCTCCATCCCATTGAAGTAGTCATACACAGTCCCATCAAATCCTGGACAAGATTTCATTCGTATTAACTCATATTTCAGACATCTCATAATCAGCTGATGATATTTAGATCAATATCTATCTGATCTTATTTTTACCTCGCAAATGTTTCTTTACCAAATGAGTTATACAATTTGTTTTCCTTGTCTTGCGCTTTATGCTATTTATTCATTTTCCGTGAGTGTATCAAAGTGTCTCATGGGTTTCAACTGAACTATATCAAAGACCTGCTTCATTTCTGTCTTTCCCCAAACTTCAAGCTGACATGCTGTAATATACATGGAATACTGTTCACAGAGGCGTTAAACCCAACTCACAATCTTTAGTAAGCTCATGTACAGTAATAATCATGTTTATGTCAGTAAACTCATACAATAAGTAAAGCATACTGAGGACCTATTCTTGACAAGGCCATACTGATAAAGGGAGTGAGTGAGTTTTGTTTTATGTCGCTTTTAGCAATATTCCAGCAATATCGCAGCAGGGGACACCAGAAATGGGCTCCACACATTTTAACCATTAGGTACATCTTCAAGTCAATGCATTAACCACTAGGCTACGCCACCCTAACCCCACCCCACCTCACACTGATAAAGAATGATCTTCATTTGAGGTAGTACCTAGAAACATGGCGTTAATGGTGAGATCCCGTCTGTTTGCATCTACCTGCCAGTCTGTTGTGAACTCAACTTCTGCATGGCGGGCCATCAGTCACTACATCAATACGCAGAGTTGTTACCTCAAAGTTCTCCTGGAAATCAACAACATAATTTCAATGTTTCAAAGAGTTTACATTATCACCATGATCACCACAAGCATAAGTTCAATAAGTGTTAAATTATGAATGTAATCATGGTAATGCTCTTTCAATTTGAAAAAACACATGAAGGCATCTGGTTTTTCCATCTATTGCTAAAAAAGTGTTTGCCCAATGATAAACAAGGCAGACTAGGTCTCTCTTTATTCTTGTACATTTGAACTAGAGAGATTTGGGACTTTGGGGAAGATATGGTGCAATTTGTTTTAATCCTACGTTGAACTGAAATCTTTCAACAATAACATCTTGAACAACAAGTCTAATTACAACATTACATTTTTTTTGCTTACTTTGTCGTTAATCCTGGCTGTGATCGTCCCATGCTTCTCTCCCTTGTTGTTTATCATGCGCACATTCTCCCTCTCGAACAGTGCCTTCATTTCATCTGGTGTGGCAGTGGTGGCAAAGTCTATATCATGAGGGTGATTGCCCAGGAGCAGGTCCCTCACTGCCCCGCCTGCTATACGCAGCTCATACTTATACGTCTCAAAGTACTTGATGAGCTGCCTCAGCTCTGGATTAAAGATGCCATGAAACTGTGAACTGTCAAGCTTCATGATCTTTAGATTTCCTGCACGCTTAGGATAGTGGAATGTTCTTGATTTCACATGCAAGTTCTGTTTACATGTGTGTGTTACTTGGGAAAACAGGCGTCTGACCAGTTGTTGATACATTGAACACCCCGTTTAGGCAGCCATAATGCTCTTCATCCTACAAAAATAGATCATGGCAGGAAACAGGTGGAATAGACATTATAACATTTCAACATGATCAAAGGGAACTTCAGATAATTCATATAGACCACATAACAACATAATTACAGGCATACAAAAAACCAGATCACTTGGTTTATAAACATGATGAAGGGTTACTATATGTAGCCCAGTAATACAGAACAACCTGGTTATCAAACAACCTGAGAGAGAGAACAGAGCTTACAAAATGATGCAATAGATATGATACTAATGTCACACAACTGTACTGGGATACCAAGTGATCTGGTTTTTGAAATAAATTACATTTTCAAGAGCGATGAATATATTTTACGTATGTTGCATATGTAAACAGCCGATGCGGGGCGTGGTGTTTCTGCTTTCCCGATGTTTTCGCGTGCCGCGATAATAGAGAGCCCACGATAATAGAGAGTCCCAGTATAACCCTTCATCATGTTTATTCCGTTCTAAAAAATGCAAAAGTATTTGACCTCATGTATTCAATAAAATCTATTTTTCAAGGTCATGAATCGGTGTTAGCATCTGCTAACAAAATGGTGACCAAATGAGTAGAATATTCCATGAGTTCACATAAAAATAACACAAAATATAAGCATGAACATGACAATTGGAACACTAACTAATTATTAGAATACATGTGTACCTGTCAGTAGTATTCCTTACACTGAATTTGGATCCAGTATATCACCAACTGTGTAGATGTTTAGGCGTTTACCATTAATGGTTCATTTCATTTGACCATTCTTAAATTCAATCTCAAGACATTCTGCAAGTGCAATCATAAATATTCGGGCTCAATAGATCTAGCCGTAATGGGTAGATTTTTCTAAATTGAAGTACTGTTCTCGATTGAAAAGAAGTCTCTCTTACGATACACTTACATGTATTTCATCAGATGCAGACACTACCTACTGATCGGAGATGTTCCCTGCTTTTGACAAGAATCATGGTGTCAGGTTTAATGAATCCTAATTGCACAAGTATTTCCTTGGTTGCGTCTTCACGGGCGCGGCCATTGTGAGTAAAGGGAAGTAACTTCTGACTGACGATCGCGTTACGCCCACTAAGCAGAAAGACACAGACATTCACTCGCACGCACACACGCACGCACACACACTGAGACAGACAAATTTCTTTTGGATCTAATCCCATCATTTGCAAAACACGAAGGATGCATTTTGGCTGTTGAAGGTGTAAGATGAGAAAACAGAATATGAATACAAGTGAATGGTTCAGTATGGCAGGTATGAAAAAAAATGATGCTTTTTTTTAAATATGAACATAAAACAAAGGTTCAAACACCGCTGAGACTTGACTTTTGTTTGTAGGTTCCGGATTTCTTGATTAAAACAGATCCTCCACAACCGGACAAGGCAACTAAACGGATTGTCAAATTCGATGACTGTTTGTCATTAGTAATAGTGACTCATTACAAACCGAACCCGACAAGAGGGGCGGTATTCATAAAGAAACTATGATTTTTCAAGTGTTTAAGTCCTTTCGTGAATACCGGATTACAACTCAGCATCCATGATTATCAAAGAGGCAACTAAAGGGATCGGGTGGGTAGGATCGCTGACATCGTCATCGCCCCTCCATTGCCTCGATGCTCATGATGTTAATCATTGGGATGTCTTTCTTAACAGACCGCCTCTGTGTAGCTGGAATGTTGCTGGGAACAACAAGCAACCATTATATCCCAGTCTGAGTCGGGTTTTATAAATAATATCCATCACAGGAATGTTTAGCCGCCGTGATGGTGTTGGAATATTGCTATAAGCGGCTTAAAACCATGCATATTCATTCACTCAAGCCCAGTGACTGACTGATCGACTTATTCTTGTTGGGCACTGAAGCAAAATGTGGCTTTAAACGACATACACAGAAAATAACAAACAGATACCAGACCAACCGTTGTCATTCCTGGGTAGATCTCCACCCCACTATACTTGTCGACTAGAATAGATTGGGTATATAGACTCTGTTGGGCTGACTGCAATATCACTAGATCAGATGTTAGTTCTCGCAAACTCTAAATAATCAATAACGTTTATATTAAAAACATCATTTTTTTCTCGTTTCCTTGAAATATCAAGTGGGTAAAGAAATAAATTGAGGGCAGGAGGGACAAGGAAAGAAACAACTTTAGAGTCGCCTCGGTACCGTTATGGACTCCGACTTGTCGCTATACGCTTAACAGTTTACGTATTTTGTAGTTAAAAGACACATGCTTTTCATTTTCCCCTGCATTCCAATATTTTTAAGTGAGCATTCGTAAAGCATAGCCTAGAATGGACGCGGGTAATCGTATGGTAGGCCTAAACTGGCGCTTTCAGTCGTGTATTGCAGGGCAAAGAGGTCTCTCAAAGTACTGAAAAGACACAAATAGACTGTAAGAGAATCATATCTCAACATATTAATTTGAGTAAAACTTCTATAGCTTACATGCATGTATTAGATATTTGACGAAACAACTTTCTCAAAAAATTCTGGGAATACTTTACTTAACTTATTGGGCTTAGTGGGCAGCGATCTAAAGAGACAAAAATTAAAAAATAACACAACAACTTTGAAGTCGACCATGTTTCCCGAATGTTGCAGTATTGACACAAAACGGATTCGTTAGTACATGGCCACATATTGGACTCAACAACATATGAAAACAACATTTGTTGTTCTAACAAATGTAATCTGCAGTATGATTGGACAAAGTAGCCTACTCTATGAGTCCAAGTCCACCCAGCTGTGAATGGGTACGGGGTATTTATAAGCAAGCAAATGTAATTCATCGCACCTACATGTAGTTGCCAGGGACCACGAGATGTATTTTCCACCGGTAGTTGGTGAACAGTCTTTCGTGATTATTGACACGCTGTGAGTGAGGGTAAAATAATGCGTCAGCCAGTACGCCGCATATCACCCGCTATGGAAGTTCATAATAAGAATATACCCGTGAAGGTCCGGGTTAGAATATTGATCTTCAGTACCCCATGCTTGTGGTAAGAGGCGACTAACGGGATCGGGTGGTCAGGCTCGCTGACTTGGTTGACACATGTCATCGGTTCCCAATTGCGCAGATCGATGCTCATGCTGTTGATCACTGGATTGTCTGGCCCAGACTTGATTATTTACAGACCGCCGCCATATAGCTGGAATATTGCTGAGTGTGGTGTAAAACTAAACCCACTCACACTCACTCACTCACTCACTTGAAATTAACAATGTTTCGAACATTTAGCAAACAAAACAAGAAAAAAATATGAAAATGAATATCTGAAACAACATATTTTGAATATTTACTTAGCCATTATATATTTTGTTATATGTATTTGTCATTGTCAGGAAGGAATATAGTCAATTCCATGATTTTGAATGTGTTTTGGGGTGCATGTGTATTAAGGTGACCTACATGTAAAAGCTGAAGTTTTCAAAAGTCTATCATATCAGAATCTATTTCTATATGGGTAAGCTACATACAAAAATATAATAACAGTTAGTCCACCGACGTGGTACCCACCACCCTACCTAGCCCATGGACAATAAGGCGGGTCAACCTTATGAGTATTCACTACTTATCTGTTCGTGACTGGGTGTGGATAGTTGTATATTGCTGGAGCGGTAAAAGGCAATGTCGCTTATCTTCACATAACATTTTGACAAAGTATTGTCATGAACTGTAAAAGTGAACTTAAAGTGTGACCGTCTCTGTTAAAATTGATATTGTTTTCTGTGTTTGTAATAATTATTCAGCGTGGAAATCTGCTTTGTCATGCTCGTTATTTATCTATGGTATCTATAGACACGCAACACCATTAAAGGGACACAACTCCTGCCTACCTAAATGCAGGGCTGGATCTTCTTGCGTCACTTCTTGTTTGTTAACGGGATTACGAGGTCATCTCTTCTTATGTCGATGTGATAACGTTGATGGCGTCGCTCGTCTTCAGCTGTTTCGTGGATGTGACGACGTTGACAGCAGGAACTTAATCGACTTCAACTTCGCACCGAACATCGTTAATATGTCACTCGATAAACGGTAAGGGAAATTACACGTTCAGTCAGCTGTTCAATGGGTTTTAACATGTGAGCCGGTATAACTATTTTTCCATGTCGAGAAGGTCAATGTGTAGCACCTTTAGTGTACTGACAGCCCTCTGTGGAAAATGTTATTTTACTCTGCAGAAACTCAGAAGGGCTCGTGTGTTTTGCTCTGTCATCTTCCCTTCACGTTTACACTTTTCTACCACGTGAGGTGAGGTTGACACCTGTAAAGGTAAAGATGGATAACAATATATTTATAAACAACTTCATTATTACTACGTTTCGGTGTAGGTCTTGTCACTCTCACTGAAATACAAAAGGTGTATTGTTATTCATCCTAACTGCTCCATCTTCTAAATGCCCTTCAAAGAAGTTACCTGTAAAAGGTGTGTCATCATCATCTATCAACAGAGGGTGCCTAAATCACCTCAGGGCATCCGTGATACAGCATAAAGTGTCTAAACAATCAGTTTTATGACTCTTAAATTATCATTGTACACAACTGGTACATGGAAATTAGATGGGGATTTTCACATAGAATGAGTGAGTGAGTTTAGTTTTACGCCACTTTTAGCCATATTCCCGCAATATCACGATAAGGGACACCAGAAATTGTACACATAGAATGAGCTCAGGGATGAAAATCCTGTAACGATTTCGCAAGAATTAAGAACAGTTGCTGTATCTGTATAGAAGATAGACATGCTGTGTAGTGCACTGCTATATCCGATTAACACTTGAGAGGGATTGGTACCCTCATAACATGTACAAGTGCGACCATATACAGGAAGCTCCTTCTGATTGTGTAATAGAGCTGGGCTGTCATGCGAACAGTTGTATTGTAGTGAATTAGAACTCATGTAGTACACAGAACAGAACCCATATCTGTTACCAGATCAGCTGACAAGTTTAGGGAATTAGAGCGTTACAAATTGTAATGCATATTTTGCTCTTGTGTTTACAGACAACTTGTGTACCTTTTGGCAATAATTGTGATGTTAGTGTGCTAAGGAAACAACACTTGTGATAAATTTTCAGATTTTGTGAAGTCCCATTATTGTTACATGGTTCAAGATAAGAGGTTATCTTTTCTGCTTGCACCCACAGGCCTACCAAAGAAAACTGTCCCACTGTGCAGAAAAACACAGAAAAGCCCACATTAATCGTGGAAATACCAACATAAACACATTACCTCACTACTGAAACAGTAAAATCGGCAACGAAAAACTATGAAACTGCAATATTTTTATATCAGCGAACTTTTACCTCCACTGCACATTCGCATTACGATCCAGGCTTCTTTCCAATTTCCGAGCAACCATGAATCGTCTCGCGTAGAAAAAATATTAAATATGTCAAAATAATTGCTGTCAGTCATTTCATACGAATGGAAAGTAAACTAAACAAGTGTGCACACAAATATCATGATGATAAATGCCAAATAACACAACAAAAATATTAAAAGGGAATGTAACTTTTGTCCAAGCTGGAAAATGTCAACATGTGGTCGAGACTTCCTCTTCCATGTGGGCATGCACAAAATCAAAGTTGCGGGCTCCTCGTTTTATGATGCAGTGTTAGCGATTTAAAGTTGCTGTTTTTACTGTTTCAGTAGCGAGGTATTATGTTTATGTTGCTATTTCCACGATAAGTGTGGGCTTTTCTGTGTTTTTTTGCACTATGGGAACGTTTTCTTTGGTAGGCCTGATTCAGTATTATCTACACTCTGCAGACATTTTGACATCCGATCTACAGTTAAGCCGCACCTACCTCAGATTTAACAAATGACAAATATTGACTAGCGTAAAGTGTTTGACCTGCTTCAGTACCGGGTGTGTGACATACTTTTGCAGTGTGTGGACACAACCACATAGTTTTATCTTCCATCAGGCCTTTCTGTCATGGGAAAGTCCTAAACAAAGCAAATACGTGTATAGATTTTCCCTAGGTTCAGAATTTCCCATCCTACTGGGGC